TCTCCGCTGATGATCATGTTTATTTATACACTCAAAGTGTACCATAAAAGAAAATAAACAGCAAAATACGATGCCGACTAGTTTTAAGTCGGCGAGAGTCAAACGCACTCAAAAATGAACTAGAAGACTTAGAACCATAAAATCTGCCCTAAACAATGGAGATATGAAGGAAAGACTCAGTTAAAAACGAGTAGACACCTCTAAATTGCTAGACATTTTTTTTATTCTTGTTGTTCTGACTAAAAAAACTTTTTCGACGCCGATTGTTACTAAGGAACGATAGATGGTCACACGGATGGTTCCTATATGAGTGGTTTTTTCTGTGGAGGTTCAAATGCTGCGCTTTTAAAAAAGAAGTAGGCCACTTTCATTTGAACAGAAAGATTAACTTTCTTTTGCAGTTGTTTTTTGGACAGATCATTGTTCAGTTATTTTGTTATTTAGTTTGGCTCATCTCAATGATAATTATGCGCTTTGTAACACTTATTTATTTTATACATTTTCCGCTATCTTACAGAGAAATTGTAGAGTAATTCTGTTATGGTCTGTTTCAAAAACTTTCTTTGGAAAACATATTCGTCCTTTACATTATCAAATCTTTCTTTTTAGGCAATACAGGCCAACAAAACGCAACTTTTAATTGTATTTAGCCAACTTTTTTTCCTGCAAAAAGCACTATGCTTGATGAGATGTGTTGCGCATGGTCAAGCATCATCCCCACATGGTCTAAGTTTGAAGTTGAACGACATTTTATGCAGAAGCCTTTTTTCGAAGATAACTGTAACTAACAATCGTAAAAGAATTTTATAACCAAAGCGGGCGAGTTCATAGAAAGCCGAATTGGCGAGTTATGGTGAGCGTCAATGTAGAACCTGTTTTGCCGCCCCGTACATGCCCACGTCATGAAAGTGGTTCAGTCACCTGAGTCACACAACACAGAGGCCGTATTTACCATTTTGAGGAATCACGTAGTTTCAATGTTTTTGCTGCGCCCTATTGTGAGCGACTTTATACACTGGATCTTGAGCTTCACAAACTACATATCTCTTATCCGTTACCAGGGTTTTGAAAGCATTTCTAGTTCGTAACATAATTTTACCATCACGCTCAATTAGGAAAACTCTTTTTAGACTGGTGAAACCTTTCTAATCGTTGCTGCTCGCGCCAATAATGTGCATGCAGTCAGATGTCTCAGTGTGGACCAGGACGTTTTGGATGAGACAGATAATGTGA